TTAATTTATCTTTTCAATTCTTATAAATACTTAAAAATAATACTACACAGTGTAAATAATTTTTTTATACAGAGAAGACACAGACCCCCGGCAATGCAAATATACATTATATTATATATATATATATACATACATTCTAAATTTTTATTTTTAATTTAATATGCATTTTTCTTCTTTATTTCTTTATTTTTAAATTATATAATATAAAAAAAAAATAAGTACAGGAATAATATAAGTGAAAAATAAAATAATAAAAATTCTAAAAGAAGTAATATAAAAATATTTAAAAATATATTTTTATTTTTTATTTAATAATTCTTTTAGTGTTTTATAATTGCAATATATATGAAATTAGAAATATATTTGTAATATGTTTTAATATTTCAATATAGCAAATTTATTAATAATTTCTTCAATATTTATTATTGAATTATTGAAAAAAATTATATCTTTACTTGAATATATATAAATTAAAACTAAACATTTAATGATTATTATTCTATTAATAGATAAATAAAAAATTTATAATATGAAATATGTAAAATTATGTAAAATAGAATAAAATAAATAAGAAGTTTAATCATATTTTAATGAAATATATTTGTAATTATATTAATCATTATATATTTTCAAATATTTAAAAAAAAAATATTAAAAATTATTTATTAAGTAATTTATTTAATAAGAAAAATGCATTATTTTTAATGGCTGAATAATGACAGCCAAAAATTGCATGGAAAACCCCAGTGCACATAAAAAAACGTGACAGCGTATAAACCCACCTTCTCATCAAGACACTCTACCAAGTCAGTGACATACCCACGCAACTCTTGGTAATATCTGAAGCGCTGCGCAAGCTGCGGTGCACGAATTTCACCATCATCCAGTTCTTTCACAGTTTGTCCTAACTCTTGCTCTAAACGGTCCTGATCTAATTCATGACGTCGATGTACTTCTTTTAAACTGTCCAATCTACAAATTATATTATTCACTCTAATTTTAAAAATAAGTAATATTTTAAATTATAAAAATTTTCAAAATGTATATGAAATACATTATAATATATATATATATATATATATATGTTATTTATTGTATTTTTTCAATTAAAATTTTAATTCAATTTTCATCACCTCGCACGCATTTTAGTCACAACTTCTTGAGGAGTAATAGGTATTATTTTTGTAGGATCTGGTGGTTGAATTGCTGGAGGAGGTGGTGGGGCTGGCATCATTACCATTTCCAAAGATATTCCACTTCCCATCATTGTATTTACATTCATACCCATTGAATATTGTTGTTGCATCATGGAATCTTGTTGTGCTGCTGCAATCTAAATATTTTTGTATATTAAAAATATAATTATATAATTTCTTTTATCATTTATATCTAAAATAAAATAAATAAATGTATATCAATCATTGTAATAATTATCAAATAAATAATCAAATATTAATATTAAATAAATATTTAATTATAATTTATAAATAAAAAAAATTACCTGTGCACCAGTTACACCTTTTCTAATTTGTTGAGCTTCCCATTCTTCTTCCTCATTTTCATGTTCACTTTCATCATCAGAAACTAAAAAAATTATATAATGTAATCATTTATTATACAAGTAAATTATTAATAATAAATAATTAAAAACTAACGTTTTAAAGGAACTTGTGATGCAAGAAATGCTTCTCGTCTTTTTTCTTTATCACGTGCTTCAGTGTTAACAGTCATATCAATTCGATCTTGCGAATCATCATCATCACTTCTATCATGATCTTCTTCTCTAATAAGTCTTGATTTGCCTTTATCATCACTAAAAATTAATGTATTTATAAAATGTATTGCAAAATAAAATCTAATTATAATAGTAATTAATAAAATTAAATAACATTTTATTTAAATTAAAAAATATTAAATATATTACAAAAAATAATACCTTTGTTCTTCTATAGGAATATAGTCAGTTCCTAATTCTCTTGCCTTTTGTCTACATTTTCTAGCTGCATGGATCATTGCAGCATCAGGTATGCAACCACCTTATTAATTATAAGATAATATTTATTAAAATATTTTTTTAAAACGTTTTAAATATATATAAATATTAATAAATGGTATATAATGTATGGAATGTTAATAATACTTATTTGTATGACATCTTTTGGATCAATTCTAGAGACCAAAATAAAAATTGACATATAAAAATGTCTATTAAAATTTATTTATTGAATAAGTGAAACGAAAACAGAATGCGATGGCGATATAACAGAGACAGAGCGATTTCAAATTCTGCTTCAATTTTAAACTTTAATTGCTTATAAGTCTCAACTAATATTTTTATATACCAAATTTTCTACTTAAATATTTTTTTCTATTTTTTTGATCTTTAGAATTTAGCTCCAAAACTATTTTATAAATATATTATTACTTTGTATTTAATAATCAAATAGAGAAAATAAATATAATATATAATAAAGCTTTAAATATAATATAATATAATAAAAAACTTTAAATATTACATACAATAATAAAAACATTACATACTTTCAAGAAGAATTTTCATTGTATCAGCTTTATCTGTATTTCTTCTAAACTTATGACTGCGTGGTTCATCTTCTTCTTCATCAGATGTGTAATCATCCTTTCCAGCTGCAAGTGCAGCTCGCCCATTTAGAATTAAAGGTCCTGTATTTTTTATTTTAACCTAATAATAAAAAATTTTAATGAGATTTTTAACAAAAAAAAATATTAATTAATTAATTAAAAAATTACTATAGACATAATTAATCTTACATTATACTGAAAAAATGGTATATTTATTATAATATTGTAAATTTTTTTAAGTATTTTTAATTTTAATTTTTTCTAAAAATATAAAAAAAAATAAATATTATTAAATGTAATATTAAAATTTTTTTTATAAAAAATCTAANATATATATATATATATATATATATATATATATATAGACTTATATATTTGAACACTTTTGAAAGATCAATTTTAGAGATCAAAACAAATAGAAAAATTGATATAATCTTAATTGAGATTTATTTATTAAATTATAAATAATTTATGTTTACATTAAATAATGTAAGATGATGTTATGATGAATAAATGAAAATTATCTTATTCTATTATTGTCTTCATCTAATATAAATTTAAATTGCTTATAACTTAATAAATAAGCCCTAATAATATTTATATAAATATATATAATAACTTTTATTATTATATTTGTTTTGACCTGAAAGAATCAATCTCTCAATTGCATAAATATATATTAATTATAAATAAATATTTATATCATATTTTCAGTGAATGTTGTATATAACAAAAATTAATTTGAGAATACGATTTAAATTTGAAAAATTCTAATAATAATAAACATCATAGAGATAGCTTACTACTAGATCATCTGTCTTTATTTCTAAATCTTTTTCCTGTTTAATGGACATGTTCGCTTGCTCAGAGTCCACTTGCATTTTCTCTTCACCTTTCTTTTTTCTCCTTTCGTGATCTAGTTGTTTCATCAATTTTTTGCTCCTGGATGATTTCTTCACTTTAAAAACTTCTCCATCATCCGCTGAAAATTAAATTATTAGATTTTATTACGAAAATAAATAATATAAAAATATAATATATTATGATATATTTAAATAAACAAAATAATAATAAAATATTTTAAACCTATTTAAAAAATTTTACAATGGTTTAATATAATATTGATATTACATTATGTTATATTATATAATGTAATATAATATTTAATTTGTAATATTAAAAATAAAGTTATTTATTCAAAAAAATATTTTTTCTTATAAGAAATTATAATATAATAATTTTATATTATTAAATATACTATTTATTCAATCATTTTTAGAAATAATAATATTTCTATTATCCATTTTTACTATTAATTTGACTAATAAATTGAAAATTTAATTAATTTATTTATTAATTTAATTAATAACATTTTTTCTGTTTTATGATTTTAATTTAATAAATATAAAAATTTTAATTTTAATATCATAATTATTTTCCTTAAGTAAAATTATTATTAAAAATAATTAAGTTACTATATATAAAAAAATCTAAAATACATATTTTATATATTTTATAATAAGTATATTTATACATATATATGTATATAATTTTTCAAAAATTACCTTCTTCTAGCTCCTCTCCAAAACTGAGGAGCGTCTGCTTTGGCTTATCCTTCTTCTTTGTTTTTGACTTTATAGGCTGGGTATCCTCCACTTCCATCCTATTTTCATTATCCTCATCGTCGTCGTTGAAAGGTCGACGGCGGATGTTTCTCTTCGGTTTATTAAATAATGACATTGTCCTTAACATCAACCAGTCTGTTTAAACTATTTGCACATATACTATTCTTAGGTTAACTTCTTAAATGACTAATGTTAAAAAAATAATTCGAAATTTCATAGCATATAAGCTAATATAACAAAAAATATTATAAAATATGTGATTATGTCTTCACACAACGGATACTAAACTTATAAATATGAGATTGATCAAAAAAATGCAACACCTTTGTGAAATTGTGATATGAATTATATGCTGAATATGAAACGTTGTAAGATAAGTTCGAAGTTTCGAAGTTAAGCTTCTAAAACTTGTATACATGAATTGCATTTCACTGTTTGAGTTACTGATTGGCTTTCAGTCTTCTTGTACTTTATATATATTACAATATATATAAATATATACTTTTAATTTTTAAAATAAATTTTCATTTTTTTGTAATTAATTTAATTTTATAACATTACAAATGTTTATTTCTTATTTATATTAAGATTATTATTTTATATTAAATTTTCAGTTATTTTATATTAGATTTTATTAACAGTAAATGTAATTTAAAAAAAAAAATACTATAGTATTATCAGTGTAGACAACTTTTACTATTTTAAAATTTACTAGAAACAATATATGAAGAGTCATTTTATATAAAAGAAACAAAAATGATTTAACATTTTAATATAAGTATGTTTTATTTATTTACTTATTTTGCATTAATTAATATATTAATATATTATAAAATTTATCTATTTTAATATTTATAATTTATATTACAGATAATATAATAAATATGAAAGATCATGCGTGTGTCGATATTCACGGTCATCATACCGATATTATTTTGAAAGTTTACAGGTAATATTAATTTTTTATATAATACAATATAAGTTTATTATACATAATAAGTTATAAACAAATATTTATATATATAAGAAAACAATGAATTTAGACTACTTAACTTTTTAAATCCATAATTAAAATTATTAATATATTAATATATTTGTTTTTTTTAGTAACCGTTTATTGTTAATTGTAACACAATTTAAAAAATTTGGATCACTAATATCTATAAGTCGTGGATCTTCATTTAATCAATATAATAATAGTATATATTCTACTAAGTAAATATTATTATTATTATTATATTTATAATTTTAAATTATTTTATTTTAAATTAAATAATTTATTTTAGGGTATTATTTGGAAAAGATGATGTTGAAGTTATAGCAGCTGCCCGCTATATAACAGAACAGATTAATACAGATAAACCATTATTAATTTCAATATCTTTGAAAAATTATGATTCAAATATTTTGAAAACAATAGTTACAACTATAAATGATATGATAGCATAATAATATTATAAAGAAATAAATTAAATATGAGTTTAATATTTGGTCAATTAGTTATAGGTCCACCTGGAAGTGGAAAAACTACATATTGTCATGCAATGGCTAAATTTTTAGAAAAACTTGGGAGAAAAGTAGCTATTATTAATATTGGTAAAAAACAAACAATAATTATTATAATTGAAAATATAAATTTAAAAAATATTTAAAATATTTAAATGACAACATTATATTTTTAGATCCTGCAAATGAAAACATGGAATATTCACCTATAATAAATATATCTGAATTGATAAAGCATGAAGAAGTGATGTCACATTATGGACTTGGTCCAAATGGCGCATTAGTTTATTGTATGGAATTTTTAGAAGCTAATATTAAGTGGTTAATTACAAAAGTTTTAAATCTAAAAGATTATTATCTTATATTTGATTGTCCAGGACAGGTATATTTTTATATTCATATATAAATATTATATTAAAATATTTCACATTTATTGTTAATATTTATTTACAGGTTGAATTATATACACATCATAAATCAATTAGTATAATTGCAGAAAAATTAGGACAAAATTTAATAAGATTATGTAGTGTACATCTTGTTGATTCTCATCACTGTAGTGATGCCGGTAATCTTTATAATCATAATTTTTTGAACAAACTTTTATTTTATTTTTAATATATTAAAATATGTTATATTTTTGAATTACAGGTAAATATTTATCTTCTTTAATTCTTTGCACAACGACTATGTTAAAATTAGGTTTACCTCATATTAATGTGATGACCAAATTTGATGAAATGAAAAAATTTAAACATTGCTTAGATTTTAATATAGATTTTTATACTGAAGTATTGGATTTAAAATATTTGCTAGATAAGTTAGATGAAAATCCATTTACATCAAAGTAAGATTGCTTATTGAGTATTTTAATTTTAATATTTATTTTTAATAAATTTGTATAAATAAGTTCAACTATAAAAATATATTCTGAATATTTAATAACTTTAGATACAAGAAACTAAATGCAGCTTTTGTGTCATTAATAGAGGATTATAGTCTTGTCAGTTTTATACCATTAGATATTTCTAATCAAGCACTGTTATTACAAATAAAAAATGCAGTGGATAAAGCTAATGGATATATATTTGGTGGAAATGAACCTCAAGATGTTCAAACTTTACTTGCTTGTGCTGTAGGAGCAGTGAGTGAAACTGAAAAAATATCTACTATAGATACATATTTTTAAAATATTTTTTTAAGTTTTTTGTTTATTTTATAAAAATCAATTAATTTCATTATTATATCTGTATATTCTATTATATATTAATAAAACTTTGCTATATATTAAATAAAATATAAATTAAATTAATAAATATTTTTACACACTTATTAATTTTTTATAACTAATCTGTTTGGCTAACAAATATTTGTGTTAAATCATCATAATCATATACCCTATTCAAAAATGTGTCCTTTAATTTTAATCCTGAAATTGTCTGAAATATATATATTATTATTAAATATATTAAAATATTTATAATATATTAAATGTTAATATAATATGTTAAAATATTTATATAAAAATACTTACTATAATACCACTACGTAATGCAATTAAACATAAAGGAATATCTATTGAAACACCAGGTTTTAATGTTCCTATCATTGTATTAGATATTCCACACCATGCTATAGAATTATTTGATTCCAAAATTAACATTAAATCCATACTTCTTTCACTAATAATAATGAAATAAAATTTAATTTTATTAATAATTTTAATTAAAATATTGAAATTTAGATTAATATTAAATGGAATTCTAAATCATTTTTTTAATTTAATTTTTCATACATATATGATATAAATACTTACGATGTATTTATTATATGGCAATTAAAATTCATCATTTGTTCAAGATAAACTGTAAGAGGAATATTTTTCATGGTAACTCGTATATCACCATATTCAGGTGCCTAAAATTAAATTAAAGATTAAATTAAGGATAAAAACAAAATAAATAACAAATGAAATTGTAAAAAACAAACCATTCTTTGTAATTGACTTGTTTGTAATCTTCCTCTTTCTCCCAAGTTACTTCTCCAAACAATATCTAATTTTCCAATATTTGTTGCATTATGCATCATTTTTGGATCTTTCAATAAACTTATTTGTGGTTTTAAACAATATAAATACTGTCTGCTACAATCAGTATCTAATATATTAACTGATCCATAAATAGACTCTCCTTTTTCATTTGTATTTAATGTTGATACTGAAAATATAAAAATGATTATCATATTTATTTAAATTTATAATATTTAAAAAAAAAATCATTCATAAAAATTATACTTACCACTAAATAAATGAGATGATTCAAGTGAAACTTTTTCTAAACAAATTGGACCAGCTGTAAGATTCTGTATTTGTGCTTCAAGATATACTTCATCTGACTTTAAAAAAAATTAAAATTGTCAAAAAATATTATTTTAAACAAATGTATAAGTAATTGATTAAATATAATATTTTATCAAATTATTACCTCTGCATTATAAAATTTTGTTTTAACATCTAATGGTTTTACTACTTGAAATTTAAAATATTTTCTAAATGATTGTGCAGTATTACCTAAATTTACAGGAGTATAACTAACTTCACATACTAGTCTAGAAAATTATATATATTACTAATTATTTACCAAAGATATTACATAAATTGAAATTTTACCAATAAAATATTCTTACATATGTGTGCCTATTTCTTTTACTTCATGATGTATAACTTCATCAACTGTATTATCAGGTGCTAAATCTTTCATTTCTCCACTATTACNTATTAATTATATATAAAACATATAATATATATAATAATACATGCATTAATAAAAATAATATATATGATTATTGATTTATTAATTATATATATTAATTTAATTTAATATTAACTTACTTTAACAATAACATTTTTTACTAATTGATTGCTACCATTATGTACACAAAGATAACTTGAAAATATTTCACCTAAATAAATATTTCTGTAAAAATAATTATAATATTAAATTATTTTTCTATAAAGTTAAATATAAATATTTAAATATAACTTTAAATAAGTAAATATATTAATATTTAATGTTATATTGTTATATAAACAATTATCATTGTTTATATATAATTAATTTATATATAATTTATATATAATTAATATAAATTTAAATAAATATGAAATATAAATTAATTAAATATGGTTTGAAAATTAAATGAATTTAAATTTTAATATATATTCATATACATACCCAAAACTTTGTGGTAATACCATAAACTGTCCTACTGCGAGAGTTTCCATTCCTTGTAAAGCAGTACAATCATTTTTAAGTTCATTATTTAAAGTATTACCAGGAAGATCTGTTGAATCACAAGTAACGACTACTGGACTTGCAAGCATAGGTCTTGTTAATCTCATTACTAAAAACAAATATATAAAAATGTAATTATTTCAATATCATATTTATAATTATAATATTTAATAATATTTAACAAATTTATATTTTTAAAAATTTAAAATTATATATAAATAATATTTATTACCTTTTAATTCTAGCAAATGTTCACTTTTTGGTTTAGTTTCCATTTAAAGTATAAGCAACAAAGAAGTTCATAAAATAAATTTTTATTAATAAAATCTGAGAGATTTGTCAAATGTTAGAAAATTCATATAACCTATAATACATAATAACATTCTATTCGATGTGATGAATTAAGTTAAATATTTAATACAAAATACTAATTATTAAATTACTTGTTTAAAAAAGCAATTTTTAAAATGTTTTATTAATTTTTTCAATCTTTAGTTTGCAAATTTAAAAGCAGTACATAATTACACTATATAATAAAATATGAACTGAAACTAAACAATATAATATTTCAAATTTTAAGAAGATTTATGACAAGAATTACATATAAAAAAGTAATCTTAAATGATTAATAGAAAACAGAATTAAATTTAATTATAGAAAACTGTATGTAACATTAAAAAATAAGATTGGAAATTTTATAATGCCTAAAGCAATTCAAACTTCACAAGAGGGCGTACATAATACGTTATGTTGATTGATGAGTCAACAGTTGACATACATATTGTAATATGTTTATAGCATAAAGATTGTTTATATTTATCAATTGTTTGATTAAATTACAATAAAAATTGTGATATATTTTAATTAATATCTCTTAAATATTTTTCATTCAAGTTAATATTTTCAATTCGTCATTTGTAATTTTCATATTCAAATAATTAATTCAACAAATAAAAGGATAATATATATTAATTTTTAACACAATGTCATCATAATAATTATATCATAATTTTTATCATAAAATACAAACATTATTTAATCCTAATATATTTTAATTCATTCATAGAAAGAGAAAGAACTTCAATTAATACATTATTCAATAAAATGATATGATTTTGTGGAATGGCCGAATTGCATATTGTAGGTCGAATTTCGTCTGCGAAAGATTTTAAACAACCACATCTTTTATGCAAGTGGAGTTTTCATGCCGGTAATGAAATATTTATCATTAAAATTATGATAAAAAATTTATTATTTTTTTATCATATATATATTTTCAATTTTTTTTTATAGGTAGAGGATGGAAAGTATTAAATGGTTATGAAGAAGGACAAACTCAAGAAAGTTGTGATTTATATACTAATGAACCAGTTTGGGATCATCCCATAGATTTACATTATACAACACAAACTATTCAAAATTCACCAAAAATTTTATTACAAATATTTCATAGAGATACACATGGAAGAATATTATTTGGATCCTATGGTATTTGTAATATTCCTTTATCTCCTGGATTGCATTCTATAAAGTGTCACACGTGGAAACCAATTGGTAACTTAAATTTTTTCTAAAAAATTATTGGCATAAATTTATTTTATTCAATATATTTTATTCTTAATCCATAGGTAATTGGAAAGATAGATTAAGAGATAAGTTTTTGGGAATAAGTTTACAATTAAAATCACCAAATATTTTGGTTAATTCTTTGGATAGATTTGAATTACTTACAGAAAGTATGGGTACAATTAAAATTGAATTGTATATACTTACCCGAAATTTTGAAAAATATGGATGTCATATATAAATATTATTGCAATATATTATATTTTATGTTAATACATTGCAATATAGATTAAAAATAAATATATCCTAAATTATAAAATATATATATATATATAAAACTATCAACATGTTTATAATAAAGTTTATATTAATATTATTTTATCTTATATTAAATAAAATAATATATGCTAAGAAACTTGAAGAGATATTTACATGTGTAAATGAAACAGAATGTGATGAATTAATAGAGAAAGATATTTTAGAAGAAACTTTAAGTACTACAATTGAAAATATTTATAATATAACTAATACTACTATCAATTCAATATATTCAACTCAATCTACAAAATTTCAAATAGCTACCAAACAAATGCCTCAGAAAATTAAATACAATAAAAAATCACGAAATCAAAATGTACATAAAATCCATTCTGATATATGTGAATGTGACTTAATGGTAAATTTTTATCACATTTTATATTTAATATGTTAAAAACTATATAATTTTAGATTAATTCAAAGTTTCTTATTTAAATTATATAGATGTCATCTTGCGATATTAATTGTTGTTGTGACAAAGATTGTAATGATTTTCATTTAACTGTTTTTTCATATTGTGAAAATTATCAACCTGAATTATTTGATAAACGTTATTGTTATAACAGAAATTTTATACAACGAAATAATACTCCATTTATACTTGAAAAATTGGCAAATAATCTTTTTTGTATTTTATATGATAATCTTCCACCTACTTACAGTATTAACAATGAATTGGTAAGATTAACATTATTTATAAATTATATTCTTTATATAAGATCATTAATCATTTTATATATTTAATTTCACATAGGATATAAAAACTGAAGAAGATTTAAGAAAAACAATAAATTTAAACAGATTGACATGGAAATGGAATGATCAATTTTATCAACTTGAATATAATACTTCTAATCCTTATCAAGATGGTGATGTTATATGGATAGTATATAATAATTATATTCAACCCTTTGGTATTTATATATTATGTTATATTTATTAGCATATTTAATATTTTATCTAACTGATTTTTTTATAAATTTAGAAATATTACAATCTGGATTTACTGAACTATGCTCCTTTAAGAAAACTTTAAAATATCTTCGTGAATGGAAAGAACAATGTTTGCAAACTGAATTAATTGACACAAATAAATTTTTGTTTCCTGCAACATTTAATAATTTTACAATTATAGTATCTCCTCATTTGTTAAATGAAACTTATATTCAGATACTGGATCAGGTATATAAAAAATAATAATAGTTTTTAAAATAATATGTAATATGTGTATGTAATATTCTTTTACATTAAAAAAAATTACATTTAATTTTATAATTTGCAGATTTGTCCTAAAAATGTATGTTTAACTTTAAATAGTTATTATTGTAAACATTATTGGAAAACATGCAGTAATAATACTATACTAGGATCTTGTTCTAATGGCACATGTTACAATATTGTAACAGGTGTAAAATATTTAATTGTTCACAATGGCTCCATGGGAATTAATAATATTGATGTATATTTTAATATAGGTAATGTTTCTCAAAATTTTTATCAGCAGTTTATAGTAACATATGAATGGGCAGAATTAGATAAAGAAAAAAGTTTTTCTCTCAGTGGTAATCCTGGTTATATTATTGGAAAACCATTAATTATAGGTACTTTAAAAATAAATAAGACTAATAATATAGAAACTAAATACATCAATTTTAATAAAACTAATAGTTTTTTGACATTACCTATAGCTACAAAAACTGGTGAATGTAATGAAATTAATAGGTATGCTCTTGCTTTTGGAGAAAATATTAAATTGAAGTGCTCTGTATCTGTACGTACTAATAATTTTAGTACAGCATCTTGTATAGAATTACAAAATCTTATTATGCATTTTTTATTTAAAGATACTTTATTTAATGTTACACAGATAAATCAATATAATATTTATGTTGCCAAGTTAGGTAACTTTTCTAATAATGATACTACTAATTGGACAAAAATTTTATTGGATAGAATACCACAAAATATTATAGTAGGATGGCTTATTAATAATCGTTTATATTGTTCAGACTTAATAACATCTATACATTTAAATATTTTGTATTCTGCTTTAACAAAACCTGAAACATTAAAAAATTATAAGGTAATAGGTATTAGTATTATATTTTCAGCAGGATCTAATATATCTTGGTCAAAGTGTACATCTGAAAAGTGTATAGATATATTAAAAATAGATGTTGTTAGTTATGTTACATTTCATGATATATCAAAACCATCCAAATATTATTTTGTAGGAGGACCAAACTTAGATATTACTTTACCATATGATTTTTTTTATCCTTTTTTAAATAGTTCAACTTGTATTAAATCAAGTATATTTTTAATTAGTATAATATTGAATATAACTTTGCATAATTTTTTTATTGATTTCAAATAACATAATTATATATAACGGTTTATTACATGCATTACTGTATTACATAGCATTAAATTATATATTTTATTAAAATATTTATTTAATAATATAAACTATGTATAATAAATGAAGTGAAAATAATTTTATATTTATAAATAAATTATAAATTTCATAAATTTAAAAATATAAATATTCATAATATATTTATAATTTATTTTATTCATAATTTATTTTGTGTTTAAAAATAAATAAATAGAAAATATGCAATAATAAATTTTACTTTTTTTGTGAAAAGATACTTTCATTTTAAAATTATTATCTTTAAATTTATATGACTATAATTTTATTTAATATTATTAATTTGAAAAAGTTTAATTACATGAAGTTTTATCACTTATTTAAATTTAACTTTTATTTTTATTTATGCATTATTATAAAAATTATAACGTAAAATATTCAGTAATATTTCAGAATAATAGTAAATGATTGGTTAAAAATTGCATTAAATATATTTCAAAAGAATCATATATGGAAGAAAATTCACTAATATAATCTAACCAATAGGAACAATCTATTTAAATCGCTCACCAATCAAAAGTGTTTCATTTCTTCTTTAAAATCTTACCATTATAAACTTGGTACGAGTTTCTGCAGCTGTCGTGATGCACTATGGGACGTTGGGTTGTGCTTCGCTCCAATACAAGATGGCTGACACTTGTTAGTAGTGTATTTTCGTTTTATCGAATGTGTAAGTATTTTATAAAAAAATCAGTGCCTTCGTATTCATGCACGTATTGTGTGTGTATGTTTGTACAAGTAGTAAAGAAGTGGTCTTTCTTTTTTTATCAAATAGTTCTCTTATCATGCATTATCAGGAGTCATCAAAATGTACCGTGAAAGTGCTAGAGACAGAATAATTATCCGTCACCAGCCATATTCATATGTGTTCTTTTGTTATGACAATTGTGATATGTATTATTCCTGTGAAATATAGTGCCAAGGTGAAGTGATATTTCACTTTGTTATTCTTCTAATCCGTTATTGGTGTTTTGTACAAGATTCGTTTCACTACGAAATAGATTAAATGAAAGGTATGTATTTACTCTATCTTCGGTACGCCTATTCACGAGACATTCTTGAAATCTTATATCCGTGTATTTTCTCTTTTTTTCGATTGTCTTTTTTTTATTTCCTCATGCTTACAAAGTATAAGAACCGATTGACCTATTAACCTGTTATATCGATTAACATGATGTCATGTATGGTTTCTTAGTTTTTCTCTGACATATTCTTTGAATTTTAGTCGCTGTCATTGTTTTACAATTTCTTAGAATTGAACAATTTCTAGATATATGTTTCTTAATAACTATCGACGAGTAATTAAAATAAATACATAACTTTTAACATTAGTTTAATATAATTAAATTATTCATTTAAATTTTATTGTTTATAATATATTTATGAAAAAAGTTTTATAGTAAGTTAGGCACAAGAATAAGCAAACTAAACATGGCAGTAACATTGGTAATGAAATTTAATCATAGCGTGTTAAGAAATGATATTTTATTTTAATCTGATTTCTCTAAAATTTTACTTATTTTCAATGTTTTTTGAAAAAAATGAGAGAAATTTTAAAATACTATTGATTAAGTATACAATTTATATTAAATAAAATTATTTGTGCAATTTTAAATTATATATAATTTAATAGAAATATTGATTAGATGAAATATTTTCTTGAGAAGTAACAGTTATAATAAATATATTAATAAATTTATAATAAATTGAATAGTAGTATATTAGAAATATTAATATTAAATATTCATATGATCTTAAAAAAAATATTATATTTAATTAAATATTGTTTTATTACTTCTAATATATTCATAACTTATAAATCTATAACTTAAATTTATTTAAGTTTAAAAATCTATTATTTCAAGTGCGTATTTAAAAATTGTAATATTTTTGTTTTAAAAGAAAAATGTAATAAATCAATAATATTAATATCATTTTAAATATATTAACAAAAAATACATTAACAAATTAAAAAAAATTGATTAAAATGTTAATATTATTGTATATGATTTGTTCAAAATTTGCTGTAAGATAATTCACAGTTCACATCTGACACGAAGTATGTAAATCACAAATGTGATATTGAAATTATCTCCAAAATATTAAATCAATAAAATGATGATATTTTAAAATAAATTTTAAATAAAATTAAATTTTTTTATGGGCATATTTGTTACTTACGACAAATACTTTTAAAATATTCTTGAGATATAAAAATGGCTGTAGACTTTAAACAAAGTAAAACAATCTCGTAAAGTTTCGTAAAAATTTTATTTCGTTTATGAAATTAATATATTATTTTTATTTTCGTCGGAATAATTTCTAAAATATTATTCTTCGCATTTTATTTTTTTTATTAATTTTTATTATTTTTATTAAATTGTTTAATGAAAGAATCATAGAATTTTATATTAATTTTCCATGAAATTTTGATTTAATTCGGAGTATTACTGCAGAAGAAAATAATTTTATTTTTATTTTTATTTTTCGCATTATTAAATTAATTATTCATTGTAATTATTATTGTTATAAACATTAT